CCCCAAAACCCCAAAACCCCAAAACCCCAAAACCCCTAATTCAATTTATTAAATAGAAATAAAATGCAACTGCGAGATGCCCCAAGGCTGTACCCTGGGAAGGGTACTGGCGATGACGACGTGTACATTCAACGTATTCGGCAGAATAATATGAAAGAAATCATTAAGCAGCAGGTTCTTGATAACCAACGTGCCAAAGATGCTAGAAGATACCAGAAAGAACAGGAGAATGAGCAGATCAAATATAATTTTAGCATCAGGAATAAGTAAGCCTTGTTTTTCGTTTTTGAGAAAAGCCTTAGTGTAAGATTTTAACTGTTTTAGACTCCAAAATATGACAGAGAGTTCTGAAAAAGACCATTCCAGACAAATTCGAAAAGATATTGATAGTATGAACTCCATAGAAACTATTAAAAGGTACGGATCTAAGAGAATTAAATAAGTACTCTGAGTCCGAGCTTTCCAAAAGTCTTTCTGAAAACAGAGCAGGAAAGGATTCCCATTTTTATTCTCAACTTGAAAGCAAGAACAAAAGGTCTAAAAATGGTAAATTCAATGGAGTTGCCGGGAAAGTAGGAGAGCTTAACTATTCTTCTCCAAGAGATAGGTCTCAAGATATCGAGGTGAGCTTTACCTAAAATGAGGAATAAATATCTCTAGCTTCTTTCTTATCATGGAAAGAATTATTCATCCAATCTTCCACCTTCTCAGGCAAAATTTCTAAAATAAATCTCTGAAAAAGTACCGCACAAGAGACAGAATTAGAGAAATTATAAAAGAAGAGAACAATATCAATGATAAAATGCGAAAATAAGGCTTATAAAAATGCTAGCATCAACAAAACTAATGGAAGCATAATCCTCAAAAAGGAGCCATACAAAGAGCTTGCCCCCTTGAATCCTGGCAGTCTGAAGTTCAAGACTCCTCAAGTACCTAAGAAGAAAGAAGGAAGGTTTAAAAGCTTCCCAAAAGAGGGAAACTCCTTCGTGGTCAACAATAGAGTCTATAAGAAGTTCAATATTATTGGGAAAGAGAGGAACTCCAGCCCTGCCCCTGATATGGAGTTAGAAACTTACAAAAATAAGGAATATAATGACAGAAGAGACATTAATTGTAAAGATTTAAAATAACTTGTAGATCGCTCCAGAGAGCACCTACCACACTTACGCCAGATCTCCAACCAAATCGAGGCTCCTAGTCAGAGTTTTGGGCACAAAAGATCTATAATGAGAGAGCCTGAGATTGGCAACTTAAATTCGAGAAACCCTAGCTTAAATAGAAAGAAAACTGTGAGCCAAAATCGTGGAATAGACTTCAGAATCGCCCCTGTATCCTCCTCAAATCATAACTTTGGAGAACCACAAAATAACATAGTTCTCAACAACAACTATGGGAGAAGCAACAGGAATAACTTGATTAACAAGCTAGTTCAACAGAAGCAGAAGAATCCAACAGTGATATATTAATTTCAACTTTTGGCAGAAAATATGGGGTTTTGGGGTTTTGGGGTTTTGGGGTTTTGGGGTTTTGGGGTTTTGGGGTTTTGGGG